TAAAAAAAAATTTAAAAATTAAAAAAAACCCTGTTTTCCAGTTGATGCACTTAAAGGGCAAATAACTCTAACTTTTGTATACGACAAAAGGTACAGACTAGACTATACCGTATAACCATACTCCTTCACCCACATGTCTATACCAGTTCCTCTGTGTAAGAAAGAGAACTCTACGTATTAGGGGATGGAGAGTGGAGGACAGGCAAAGAAAGTATGTTGGTAACCGCAAAAAGGTAAGGGAAAAAAGACGCACTTCCATACTCTTCTAACACAAGCAGTTTTTAACTCTTCCCTCTCCATTGCCCACCAATAAATTTTCTTTTTGCCTAAGATAGTCAGAGCTGTTTTCTTTGCTAACAACCAAAAGAATTGGCACCCTCACCTCTAGACCCCTCTCCTTTAAATCCATCCTACAACCAGCTGTCATATTAATCTTCCTAAAATACAGCCCCTTTCAAAATTATGTATAAACTCTTAGCCTATCATCCAAAGCCTTTCATGTGTCAGTCCCAATTCAGAAGAGGACATAGACACTCAGACTCTAACTCAAGCCCTAGATTCAAGTCCTGCTAGTTTGAGCTGTGTGACTCTGAACATGTTAACAAATGTCTTTCAGCTTCAGTTCCCTTATGTAAAATGGAAATAACAAGAATGCCTGCTTTACTACGTTGTCATTGATGATTAAAAGTGTAGGCTATTAGATATTAATACTATCTTCAAGTACTAACCTGCACATGCCCAATGCAACAACCCAGACGAACTACTTAATGTCTCTGAGAAGACCCTCTACTTTCTAGGTCTCGTGCCTTTAATCACACTGTTCTTCCTACTATGGGCCAGTCATTATACTAGAATTAATAATTAACCAATGATGGAGCCTTGATTCTAATCCATGTCTGATTTCAAAATTCATGTTCTATGCTACTGAATTGAATTTAAAAACTAGTAGAAATTATAGGGTATTAATTACACTCTGCACCTAATCCATCGAGAGAAAGGAATCATAATCACCACCATCTTTAAGCTGCCATCCCCCTCAACCCACGCAAATATACACAATGAGATATAGTAACACAGATGAAAAGAATTTTTTTCAAGGCTTGCAAACCAAAACTATATTGTGTGATAAACTGATCTAGGACTCTAGTTTCCATGTCATCTGATATCTTATAATTTTAGCTCTTAAACATTCAGATATCCTTACCTAGTTTCCAAGTTCTCTGGATAAAGATGCCATCTAGACATGCCATTCACACCAAATGGGCATAATATATGAGTACAACTCTAAAGATCCTATTGAATATGATGCAATATAACAAACAAATACTTTTTCTTAACACCTGAATTAAGGAAGCATGTTTGGTAAGATATAAAACCTGACATTGGCACTTAGAATAATCACCATGGAAGTCAAAAATAAAATACAGTAAACAAAAAAACTTGCTTCAGCCATATTAATATAAGTATTACTCTAGCTAGTGAGTTTTAAACTTTAAAATAAAGACAAGTAGCAATTCCTTTCACTTAAGACATTTAAAACTCAGAGATGGAATACCCAAGTGCACTCCTGGGAACCATCCTGCCTAAGACCCAACAGATGAGACACCCAGTGTCTCATTATTCCCTCAGATAATTACATCTCTATGACTCAGAGAAACATCTCTAAACAAATAATAATATAAATCTTCGCTTGCCTCATATCATCTTGAAGAAAATCTCTTTTAGGCAAAAGTAAAAACTCTTACTGGCGTACCTTGAATAGTATCCTCTTTAGGAACTTCAGTTTCATCATCATCATTTAAGCAATAAACTGTTTCTTTTTGTATATCTTCTTTTTTTAAGGTTCTCGCATCCACAACTGTCCAAGTCTTTTTAACTTTCTCCTGTAGCATCTTATATTACGAAAGATAAATAAAGGGAAAACATAAAAAGCTAGGATTCCAACTGATAGAAGATGAAAACCTAATATAATCTCTGGTTCACAGACAGAAATCCAGAATAATTATTCTAGCTACGTTGTTTTGTTTGCTCTTACCTATTGCAAAAATCTTATTAATAGTTTATTTCACAATAGGACATACTGGATAACTCTCTCTACATTTCATTCTCCCCTCCAAAGTAATCCACAAATAAATTATATTAATATTTATATATATATGAACTTTCTGTACAAAACCTTAGACTAATAAAAGGAGGTCTATCTATTTTACCACAATTTTCCAATATAAAAGAAAGGACAAGCAATATATCAATAGTCATTAATCAACAAAGAAATTTGAAAAGGAGACAGAATAAAGAAAAAAAGGAAGAGACTGTATTCTTGTTCCTAGGAATACTAGTCTAGGCATTGACAGAACCTGAAATAAAGAAAGGACTACCTCCACGGTTCTCATGGATGAATCATGTGTTTTGGAATCAAGTCCTTGAATATACAAAAAACAAATATACAAAAACATATTTTGCGTATTTAAAATGCTTTTATATATTTATTTTGTACATTTAAAGAAAAAAGGCAAGGAGGCTCATGTGGAGGCACGGGTCAGGGATTCCTACTTAAAATGGAATTTCATCAAATAATCACCAAAAGCAAGTCATTTTTGAAAGTGTGCTATTATGTACAAACATACATATATTACGAAATGCAATTTCATAGTAATGACTCACCATTTTTTGATATTTCATAGATGTCGTTACTATGAGATCATTAATAATTGAATTAGATGTAACTGAATCTCCAAAACTGTAAACTTAACTCTGGTGTACCATCTATATTTCTGCTATGATACTACAATAATACAACTTAATGCACTTCATTTGCTTTCTTTAAAAAAAAGAGAGAGAAGCCCAGAACTCATGGTTAACAATCAATTATCAGTGGAGAGAAAGAGAAAGAGGAGGGAATCAAACTCTACTACAGACAATTCTTTAAACTTCCTCTCCTAGCATGCCTTTTACATAAAAAGCTAAACAGAGATTAAATGAACAAGGAGAGCAGCTAGAAAAGCAGTAATTATGGTTCTGAATATCCCACACATGAATTTTCAGTTCCTTATATAAGCCTATGTATCTGCCTGGTAACATTACTTTTAAAAATGTGTACCTACCACTTACCGATTTATAGGCCACTATCCTTATCGACAAATTGGATCCTATGGTCAGCCGGCAAGGCCAAGGCACGGAATACCTCGCAATTTTCTTGAAGACACATAGCTGCCTCAGACTTTCACTTAATAAAGAAAAATATAAAATGAAAACAACAATTTTAAAATGTTAACTTGTGCTGAATGATGCATTTAGTTTTCTAGAATGAGAAGTGAGCTATTGTTGATTATAAAGAGAGGAACAGCAGGGGACGGCAGGAAAATGACAATCATCATTTGGGACAGAGCCAGAATACAACTAAGTTGGCTTAGGAGGAAGTAGGAGTTGAATCACTTTACTGATAGGTGGAAACGAACATCTCTATCTTCCCCTATTCAATCTTTTCTTTCAACTCCGCCAGTATTCTTAACATTTTTTCAGGACCAAGGGCACCTTTGAGGATATGATAAAAGCACATTCACAAACGAAGTCTGCACACAATATGAAGGTTCACCAACTCCCTGAAAACCATGAACCTAAGGATAAGAACCCCTATAATATCACTACTCACAACTCTTCAATTCATTAGTTAATTCCAATTCTCTTAAATAAAAGATATGATATGTTTTTACATATATACGATAGAGTTAAATAAAGACTATCCAGGGGAAAAAGGAATTTAGTAGTCCATATTTAGTCTTTAGGTAAAGCAGATACTCTAGGTTTCTAGTGGTGGGAAAAGCTGGAGGTGGGTAGAGGGGGACAAACACAATGTAGAGTGCTGGTTCAGTAAACAAAAGGGAAGGTCAATTCTATTTTTATGTGGCGCCTAATCAAACACAACAGAGAAAATTCAGAAGACAGGTAGAATCTGTGGTATTCACCAAAATAATGAACAAAGGAATAAGTGACAAAATGCACTTAAAGCATACGGTCCTGACTTCAGGGCTGACCTACTTGGTAGCGATGAAAAACAGATCTAAATAGAGGTAAAGAGAATTCTCTTAACATTAGCCACAGAGTTATGGACAGAGAGGCCTCAAGAGACTCCAATTTTCAGAAATAATTTACAATGAATAGTAGATATTTTACCAGACATCTGCTTCCAAAGCTACGGTAATACTCAGCTTTGGACTTGTTGAATGAATGGGTATGAACCAGGTCTAATCCGTCTCATAGGACATTACTAGTCCAAGTACGAGTCAGGTCTAAAACCATCACAAGGTTTGGATTCTCTTCCAGACTAGTGTCTAATATGATATATAAGATCTGAGAACAAACGGATCAGTTCTGCAAAAGAGCTGAATCACCCAAGCAGAAGTCAAGTTGTCTTCCTAAGATCTTCTACGTGAAAATAAGCCTAGTCCAGTGCCGTCCAGTACAACTTTCTGTGATGATGGAAATGTTCTATTTCTAACAGTGCCAACCCACTAGGCACTTGAAAGGTGGCTAATGGGACTAAGGGACTGAATTTTAAAATTTATTTGATTTTAATTAACTTGAATTTAAATATCCATATGTGACTAATGGCCACTGTGTTAAATGGCAAAGTTCTGGTCCACACTCTTATGGCAGATCTATGTTCAAAGTAGCTTACGTTGCTAGGAGAATGCATAGGCAGTAATTTATCTACTTGCTACGCTAATAGAAAAAAAAAAACCTTGTAATTTGTATGGACCTATAACTTTTCTTTATGATAAACAGTTAATATATTAGTTTAAGACATGTATATCCCCAAATTTAAAAGAGAAAAAACTTAGAAACACATATTTGCACATATTATGACAAGAATACATATTATGTCAAGAAACTTCACTTTACAGGGATTCTTCACTGATTTCTTTGCCAACCTCTTGGGAAATTACAATTCCATTTCGAAAATTTCCATTTTCCTTTCATTTTCAAGGATGTTAGCAAATCAGAATGTATTGTTTGTCAATTATAGCTCACCGGAAATACTTAAAAATTGTGGCTGTGAAAAAAATTAGAGCAGATATATACTGCAGCTCCTTAAAAAAAGTCTAGTTGTTGAATCTTTAATTGAGAACTTTGCCTAAACAGCCTGTATTTTGTGTACTGACTGATAAACTGGAATTAATTCATCAACACCAAGCAGTATTATCCCTGAAAATTTCAACCCACACAAGTAATACTGCTTGATAAAAGTATTCTATTGCCACTTTTGTCAAATCAAGCCCCTCAAACACAAAGTATTCTAGATACTATTGATCCCTCTCAGGTTCTTTGCTCAAAATAAATTTATGTCCATTCCAACCAAGAATAAGACAGATAAAGAAGCTGGTCTCTCCCACAATCTCTAACTAGAAGGTTGAAAATGGCAATCTTCTTTATTATTATACAGTATTTCAGGGATTTCATTTTTCTTAAGTCATTTTGCCTTTACATAACCCACATGAAATAAATAGGCTATGAATTCTTTACATTTTGGGTTTTTGTCTTTTTTTTTTTGCTAGATCAAACTTTGTGACCAAAAGTTTAAAAAAAAAAATCACTATACTATAGTATGCTGCTTTCTAAAACCTAAATCAGAGGGTAAGAGGATACTAACTCAGACCAGAGACTGCTTTTTATAATTAAGAATATTTTTGGCAGGAGAATGGCGTGAGGCCAGGAGTTCGGGGCTGCAGTGAGCAATGATCATGCCATTGCACTCCAACCTGGGCAACAGAGCAAGACCCTGTTTCAAAAAAAGAAAAGGAATGTTTTTTGTAGATGTATGAAAAGGAGGGGCCCAAGAAATATGCCCCAAGCTTGGCATAAAGAAATATACTACTTCATCCTTTACAATTTGACTTGATAAATCTTTCATTGTATCTATCTATTCCCAAACTTCACTGACACAAGCCCTGGAAATAAATGAGAAACCATGTGCCAACCATACAAAATTTAAAAAAGAGGATTAAGGCTGGGAATACCATTTCTTTAATAAAACTCAGAATATTTATTAAAGAATGATTGCTAATTCAAGAGTGGCCCAGAAAAAGAAAAGCACATTAAGGAGACCTCTGATCAAAAGAGAAACTTATGTGGGTATGATTGAAAGTTGTCATCAATGTTTTCACTTCTTACCTGAAGGAATAAATTTCATCCAGCCCATCTTCACCTTCTAAAGACATCATCACCTTTTTCACCATCTGAATACCTTCTTTTTGCTGCTCAGTAATTCCTTTTTGAGGCAAGGAGGGTCCATGGTGGTCCAAGGGCAAGTTACCTTCTCCTCTGTCCCCAGTTCCATCTTCCTTGGCAATTGGGAAAGGCAAGCTATCAGGAGAAGATCAGCAGTAATTAAAAAGACAAGCTCTGAAGCTGAATAATAAAATTGGTTTCAATCCTATGACTGTCACTCACTAGCTATGAGAAAATGGGCATATTGGTCTATCTCACCAAGCTTTAAATTTCTCAGCTGTCAAATGACTTACCTACTTAGCCTATATTCTTTCAGTTTCAAGTGACTGACAGCTCTCTGATTTCAAAAGGGGAAAATTTATTGGCTGACATAACCAAATAATTAAAAGGGCAGGGCTACACAAGGCCTTAGCAAGATTAGATCCAGGGTTTCAATTGCCACTAGGATTATCTGACTCTCTCACTCTCTAGGTGTTTTACCTTCATTTGCCTTTATGCTGCCTTCACTCTCTCAGACCGGCCTCTTCCACATTGCCTCTGAACATGTTCTAGCTCTGCTATTGCCTGAATGTGTCCCCCAGAATTCACATGCTGAAACTTCATCACCAATGTGATAGCAATAAGAGGTGGGGCCTTTAGGAGGTAATAGTCATGAGGATAGAGAGCTCATGAATGAATCAGCAATCTTATAAAAGAGGTTGAAGGGAGTGCCCTTTTGTCATATTTGCTCTTCCGCCATGTCAGGACACGATGTTCACCCTTCTGTCATGTGAGGATGAGGACGCAGCAACAAGGCACCATCTTGGAAGCAGAGCTCCCTCATCAGATACCGAATCTGCAGGCACTGTGATCCTGGACTTCTCGGACTCCAAAACTGTGAGAAATCAATTTCCTCTGTTTATAAATTTCCCTAAGTGGATGGTTATTTTTAAGGTGCTTTCTCTATCATTTTCTTTGCTATACTTAAAACAGGGCTTTCTGTTTAAATCTTTCTATGAATGCTTAGCATGACATATTTGCATGCCCTGCATTACCTATCAGATAAAAATCTTCCAGAGAGCAAAGTACAGACACAGCGTTTGCATCACGTTATTGCTGTTTCCGTAGTATCAACCAGGAAGGGCCAAATGACATAGAAATGAAGGTCAAGAAGTTACCCTGGAAAAAGAAGTTATAATGACAGTTTTTTCTACCGTACATCAGACCAGAAATAAGCTTTCTCAGTGGCCAGTAAAAGAAACTAAAAACTATGTCCAAGAAATAAGCCTGCTCAGAACACAGTGCTTCTTCGAGCTGCTGGTATTTCTTTAGTCCAACTGGAACAATCAATTGTACACAGAATACACTAAACAACAAAACCATAAACTCTACTGTGTATGCTAGAGGTTTGTAGCACAGGAAGAAAGCATATTACTCAAGAAAAAATACAAGTCAGATAAGCAAGTAGAAGGGCTATGTTCCCTCTTCTTCACGTTTTTCTGTACTGCTCACACAAAAAAAGAGTAGCCCTTTCAAATGATATTGACAGAGCTGCACTATGCTTCAACCATGTAGAGGCATCCTGAGATTATGAACAGGGAACAGAAGCTGAGCTGGGCTTCTGAAGTACTTAGAAAACCTCACTCTGTAAGAAGTGTCACTTAAAAAGCACTTAATTTCTCTGAAGTACCATCTCAACAAGTACCAGTTTGATGGGTTATTCTGAACTATTTTTCTATAGTCCTACAGAAAGGAGGTGTCCCTTGGCAGTCTTAAGAGATACATACATGCAAGAGAGATTCTTAATTCCCCGTGGCAGGCATTTTAAAAAGCCAAAGGCGCACCAGTCTGAGCTAGAGGCTTCTTGGTATAGCTCTCAATTTGAAAAATGAACGTCCCCAGGAGATTAATAATTCAATATCCTATACCATCACTCTGCTTTCACCAAAAATAGAACAAGAAAAAATAGGTTTCAAATGCAGCAGGAAGGATTAGTGTACTGAAAAGAAATTTTTCTTAGGGATATAAGATAGAGAAAGTAAATGCTGGAGGGGAAATTCAAGTGTTTTGTGAGAGGAGGAACTCTCTCCCTAATAAATTGTGAAACACAAATTTTTTCCCTCTAAATTTGTTACCTTGTTTCTAAATACATATAAACAAATTACATTTTATATATGTGTTTGCATCTTTTGTTCTGAAAATAAGTAAAATATAAACATTTTATGTGTTTAAAATGATTCCTGTCTACCCTAAATCATTTACTGTCTGTAGGACGCAGTTCTCTAGCACTGTTTTGTTTTGCTTTTGTTGTTGTTGTTTTTGAGACAGGGTCTCACTCTGTTGTCCAGGCATGAGGGCAGTGGTGCGATCACAGTTTGCTGCAACCTCAAACTCCTGAGTCAAGTGATCCTCCTGCCTCAGCCTCCTGAGTATCTGGGACTACAGGGTGTGCACCACTACGCCCTGCTAATTTTTCTTATTTTTTGTAGAGATGGGTCTCACTATGTTGCTCAGGCTGGTCTTGAACTCCTGACCACAAGTGATGCCCCTGCTTTGGCCTCCCAAAGTGCTAAAATTACAGGCATGAGCCACTACACCCGACCTCTAGCACTGTTTAAGAAAAGAAACCATCAATCTGGTAATTGTTTGGATAAAGTCTTCTATGTAGGAAGGAGATAAACTGAATATCCTCAAAAGACTCGCTACACTTGATCTTAGCCAAAAGGCTGAGAAGTGATAAAAAAATTCTTCTAACTCCTCAATTCTCTGGGTCCAATAACAGTGAACAAACAAAGATCTGCTACTGAGCTCAATTCCTCTGCATCACTGTGACTTTCATCTCTTTGTCTCTAAAACTTAGAACAGTTCCCAGAATACAGAGAGTCATCAGTGAGTGTTTGTGGAGTTATTAGTCATCTGACAGATTCCAACTCA